ATAAATATGAGGAATATGAGGTTGTTTTAACACTTTTAAAAAAATCAATGTAATTCATCAAACTAACATATTAACATCCTCTTAATAAACAAAAAGAATCCAATAAAATTAAAGATTCATTTGTAATTTTTTTAAATCTTGCAAAAAAAAACTTTAAATATAATGAAGTATACCTATAAATTTTTAATCAAAGCATCATCCTTAAAATTAATGCCCACTATCATCCCTTCTATTAAACTCTATACTGATGATCCTTTACCAGTGTGAAAAGGGAAGGAAAAAAGTATAAAGATTATAAGGAAAGAAACAAAACTATCATCTTTCACAAATGGTAAGATTGCAAGTTTAGGGAATCAACAAGAATCCATAGACAAATTATTAAGAATGAATATCAGAGTTTAGCAAGATAGCTGGATACAAACATATACATATGCATATACACATACATACATTGGATACAAACATATACATATGCATACATACATACACATGATACATAAAAAACAATTATACTAAGTAAAAACCATTCTGAAAAACACTTTGGCATCATCTGGTAAAGCTGAAGATAGGCAGACACTCTGGTCCAGCAATTCTACTACAATGCGTATCCAGAGAAAGTCTTCTGATACAGAATACCTGGACAAGAAAATTTGTAGCAGCTCTGTTTGTTATAACCCCAACCTGAAACCAACACAATTGGCCACCTACAAGAAGTATGTGTATTATAGTTCACAATAAAGAGGTTAAAATGACAAAATGAAGAAAAAAGATATTATTCATATAACTATACTGAAGAAAATTACAAAATATCTAATAATAAACTAATCATGAAATGTGGAAAACCAAAATGAAAGACAACTACAAAATTTCATAAAACCTTATTGAAGTAGTCTTATACATATAATATGTTATATAAATGTTCTGAAGCAAAATTGGCAGACTGAACACAAGTTCACTTCCACATCCTACTAAAACCTTACCAAAAAATTTAAGGGAGGAAAAATGATTGACATACACAAAGGATGATGATAAGAAGAAGGGCAATATCAACGCAATTTTAGAAAATAAAAGCAAGTGGACAGGGCTGGCCAGGTGGTGCAGCAGTTAAGTTCACTCACTTTGCTTCAGCGCCCTGGGGTTCACTGGTAGGGATCCCAGGTGCAGATCTACGCACCAATTATCAAGCCATGCTGTGGCAGGCATCCCACATATGAAGTAGAGGAAGATGGGCACAGATGGTAGCTCAGGGCCAATCTTCCTCGGCAAAAAAGAGGATTAGTGGTGGCTATTAGCACTGGAATAATCTTCCTCAAAAAAAAAAAAAAAGCAAGTGGACAAACAGTAACTAAGTGAGCAGAGGAAGATGAATCCCAATGCCCAGTAGTCGAGACATCACAAAGCACTAATCTCTGTGAAAGTAAATTAGTTCCTGCCCAAAAAAAACATCAGAAAAGCTCAGAATAAAAGGTACCTCATCTCTCTGAAAGCCAGATTGGGACTAAAAACAGGAGAACCGGCAGAAAATGTCAATCAAGAACACGTAGATGCCTAAATCCCCTGCTCACACTGCAGAAAACATGAGGTTAATTCTTTAGAGAGGCTGAACCAGATGGGCCCCAAATTAGTGGACAGCAAGCAGAGCTGGAAGCAGATATCAGGGGCTCTCCCTAACACAGAGTTTTACATAAAAGCCTGAAAAAGGAAAGGTGCGACCTCCAGCCCCTGCCCTTGTTATGTACCAGTGTACTGGCTACTGCCCTGCCAGAGCTAGCAACATTTCTCTGTGACTTATCCTAAAGAAAAACACATAGACGTTTGGTTTCATGGGGGGAACACCTGGGACCTCCCTCAACAAAAAGTCTGATCACGCCACCCCCAACTGAGGTCCGCCAGACCTGTCCTCACACACAAAGCTTCCAAATGGCTTTTTTTTTCCCCTGCTGAGGAAGATTAGCCCTGAGCTAACATGCATGTCAATCTTTCTCCACTTTATATGTGGGTCACCGCCAAAGCATGGCTGACAAGTAGCGCAGGTCCACGCCTGGAATCTGAGCCTGTGAACCTGGGCCATCAAAGCAGAACACAATGAACTTAACCAGTACGCCATGGGGCTGGCCCCCCAGTTGGCTTTTAAGTGTCTCACTCATGAATATGAAAACATCAGAGAGTCACTAGACAGTTGAGGAAATTTGCTAACATGTATTAGAGTCTGAAACAAACAGTAAGACACAGGAAGGAGAAACAGCAGAAGAGAACAAATTTTAGACCAGAATATCCTAAGAGAGATAAGTGAAAATAATGAGTTAATGAAACAAAAAGAACACCATGTTTTAAAACTATTAATCACAGATGAATCTCCAGAAATTAAAAAATATGAAAATCGAAATTATAAATCTATAAGCAGTAGGCGGTTTGGGAGATAAAACTGAAGAAACTTCCCAGACAGTGGGACAAAAGATAGAAATTTTTAAAAAGACCAAAAGTAATTTTTGAAAAAGATACAAGGGATTGGAGCACAAGATTGAACATCTAATTTATAGAAATTAGAAAAATAAAATAGAGGAAAGGTAGGAAAGAGATTATTACACAAATTTTTTTAATGTCCCCAAAACTGAAGCACATGAATTGCCAGATTGAAAGTCCAGGGGGGCTGGCCCCATGGCCGAGTTGTTAAGTTCGCACACTCCGCTGCAGGCGGCCCAGTGTTTCATTGGTTCGAATCCTGGGCGCGGACATGGCACTGCTCATCAAACCACACTGAGGCAGCGTCCCACATGCCACAACTAGAGGGACCCACAACAAAGAATATACAACTATGTCCCAGGGGGCTTTGGGGAGAAAAAGGGAAAAAAAAAATCTTAAAAAAAAAAAAGAAAGTCCAAAATGAGTACCCAGCATAATGAATAAAAAAAGATCCATCCCAAGATGATTCATTGAGACAATAAGAACATGGGAATTAAGAGCTTCCTTCCAAAGAGAAAAAATACACCATAAAGAACTGGGAATCAAAATGCCAGCAGATCGCATAATAGCAAGATTGGAAACTAGAAGACAGCAATTTCTTCAAAACCCTAAGGGAGGGGCCAGCCTGGTGGCATAGTGGTTAAGTTTGTGCACTCCGCTTCAGTGGCCTGGGGTTCGCAAGTTCAGATCTGGGCACAGACCCGGCACCGCTCATCAAGCCATGTTGTGGTGGCATCCCACATAAAACAGAGAAAGATTGGAACAGATGTTAGCTCAGTGACAATCTTCTCAAGCAAAAAGAGGAAGATTGGCAACAGATGTTAGCTCATGGTCAATCTTCCTCATACACACACACACACACACACACAAATAAACCCTAAGGGAATTCAATTTCCAGTCTTACTTGTTCCATATGAGGGGGTAAAACAAGAAAGAACAACACATGAGATTCAGGAAACAGAGAACTGATATTGGAGAGAGAAGGAAGGAATCCCAAAAAGATGGTAAAGTGAAGACCAGGGATGACAGCTACACAGCAGGACTAGTGAGCACTCACTCCAGACTCCAAGGTACCAGGTGGCACGGCTCCAAAGAAACCAAAATGGAATCGGCAGATGACCTGATTTGTTTGCCTGATATAAGAACTTTATAACAAGTTCCATTGGGAAGATTTTAAGGCAGAATAAGTGATGAGGACTATGAGAATTTAGGGTTCTCATATTCCCTGCACCCCTGACATAAACAGATTTCTCTTCCTTCCAGTCTCCCTATGTTACAACTTTAAGCTACATGACTATTCATTCTGAATATAACATTATTATGAGCTGATCCTTATTATATACTTGCTATGATATCTAATCATTTCTTGTTATACAACTTGGTTTCCCTGGAGCTAATGAATCCTCATTTTTTCATTTCATTATTTAAATTATATTCATAGATTACTTTGATAGAAAATAAAAATTTAACTTAAAAAAGTAGCATATGTTTCTAATATTTGTCTTTTTAGTCATAATTACGTAGGCATGATTTTTTTAAATAGACATATAAAACACACAAATACACATATACACATATTTATAACTCATTTTTTCACTTTTTTCAGTCATTATATTTAATCAGTATTAGACATCAGTCTTGATAACAATTTCCAGGTATTTCATAACATTTCATTGTAAGATCATGATAATTTATTTACTCACACTCCTCTGTGTTGAACATAAGAGTTTTTCAAATTTTTTGATATTATTAATAATGCTCACTGAGCACCCTTCTACGTAAATCTTTGTCTACATCTCTAATGACAAGTTCCTAGAACCAGAATAGGTTTAAGGCTTTTGATCTATTGGCTGTTCCCTAATTTTTCTACCAATTTACGTTTGCATCTATAATGCGTATGTTCATTTCAAGGTAGACTTACCAGCAGGAATATTTTTTAACTCTTGCACAAATTAAGAAGGAACAAATTTAGCCTGTACTCCTTTTAATTTGAATCTCCCTATTAGCTATATTATCTACTTATGACTTTTGATGATATTTCTATTGGGGTATTACATGTATTTGTGTGGTTTTTAATTTGGTAAACCTCTTCATAAATTAAGGATATGTGTCCCTTTGTCAATTTATAAGTGTTTTTTCAATCTTAACTCTTCTGTAGTCACACTTTTGATTTTCCTTCTCTTGTACTTGATACCCAGAAAGGCCTTCTTCAGCTCAAGGACAGTTAAATGTTGACCTACGCTTTCATCTCTTTTTCTGAGGTGGTAGTATTATGGTTTTATTATTAGTAATTATTTTAAGTAACACAAAAGGGATCCTTTAGCAGTACTTCTATAAAAGCATGATAAAACAATGGGGGGACCTCAGGAATATACAGGTGGCTTAAAATCAAATAACTTTCTACATATCTTTTAACTATAAATATTTCAACATATAAGCTTTCTTCCTAAAATATTGGTGCTATATGGGTCAACAGCAATGTAATACTTTCAGGTATACATGCTAATATAGCTGAATTTTGAAAAGTTTTTACTCACTTGTGGTCATGATGTTCGGAGGGCAAGAGGGTATTCCATGATCCACTGCCCATCTGTAGGCTCCTTCTCCAACTAAAAAGCTAACAGAAAAATTATTCTTTTAAAAATTCAGTGTCATCTTTTCCTACATATTCAATAAAGTAATACAGTAAGGCAATTGAAGAAAAGTCTTGTATATAGATATAATTCTAGATTGACCTCAAAATTATAATATGGCTAATTGCCCCCAAAATTTCTTTTAGATCTTCCCCAAGTTAGAATTTCTACGATTGGAAATGGTACAATTTCATTTGCAATTAACTAACAAGTAAAAATTGGCAAATCCAGTCTAAGAAGTAGTAAAAATAGTTGATTTCCCAGTGGAAAATATTAAAATTTATCTTGGATAAATATGGTACTCACTTTACCCACCACAAGATCTATTTAATCAGGTAAAGAGTCAAAGTTTAAGTAAATGTCTTCAGATTTGGTATTCTTGCCTAGTATAACACCTGGATCTACCCAAAATGAGTGGGTACATCTAGAGACGCCCAAACAAATGAGATGTGCTTACATTTCTAAGCCTTGATGCAACAAAAATACATTCATGATCCTCAGAATCACTTTTATTGTGATAAGTAAAGTACTGTGGTGTCCCAAAAAGCAATTTTTTAAGTCGTAAGCTGTAAGATTTAACATAATAAAGTGAATAAAAGGATACTGTTAGCTAACCGTAAAAGACTTTCAAAGATTTCAAATAGCATGCAGTATAATTAACTGATTCCCTAACACAGTAATAGCAAGCAAGTTACCACAATAATGAATCACTTCATCTCCTTCCATCGCCAACTTCTTAAAGATTTCAAACAGCTAGTAATGGATTCCTTGAACTTGTGCCTACTCATTAGTTTTCTGCTCTCTATTTTTTGTTTCTGTTCTTCTAATCAGTCCAACACTAAAAACCCAAAGTAATACATATTGAAGTCTTGAGACTCAATTGTTAACAAGACCAGTGACAGACTGGCAAAACAAAATCTAAGCAGACACTCAGAAACACATCCACGTAGTTCCAATGAGAAACTAAACGGTTAAGCCCAATAACTGTTTTCCACTATATATAAAAGTAGGCATGCAGGGAGCATTGAAAAAAGAGAGGAGAAAAGGCCAAAAAGAATAAACAACCTTACCTCTTCAAACGTCTATATTTTAAAAATTCTAAAAGATTCTTAAAACAGAAAACAATTTCTCCTATTCTTACATCAAATGAAGACCACTGCAAAGAAAAGCCATCACATAAAGTTCAAATGGAAGAATAACTGAAACAGAAACTTGGATGCAAGCTGAGCTGTCCTGATGGCATTTTTAGCACTTCCTTCTTCTAGAAAAACAATTTGATAAAACAAACAATTTCTCTTCCACAAAGATGTAAAAGAGATGCTGAAGTAGTAAATTAAACAATCAGGACAGAAGCTTGGAGCTGAATCTAAGTATTCTCAGAATAATCATTGGGCATTTTGGGTTCAATCCCAGTATCTGGTATCAATGGCATTTTACAAAATATTCTTAGTTTTATTTTTCATTTCTTAATCATTCATAGGTTTGATTCTAAATAAAATCAATTTGCCATTGTCTGCTAGGCAAGTTTGTAAATACTTTAAGCATTTTATAACATTCATGGGAAGGTGAGTGTTTGAACTCCATCTTATGGGTAAGAATACTGAATATCTGACCTTTCCTTACTATCAAAAATTACCTGTCTAGTAGTTCACTATCACACAAAAACTGCTGTCAAAATCATTTTAAAAGGCTGTAAAGCTACATGAGCTTTTGCTAAAAACTATAGCCACAAGTCAAAAAAATAACTTTCCAGAACATTAAATGCAGTACCAAGTGAAATTTTTCTCAAACACTCCTCTGACTCTCCAAAGCTTTTAGAGAAGTTTCACCTTGATCCATTAGAAAATCCCACTGACTCTACCTTTATAATATATTCAGAATCTGACCACTTCTCATCACCTCCACTGCCACCACCTTGGTCTAAGCCACCATCATCTGTTATCTGTATTGTTGTAATGGCCTCATCACTTCATGCTTGCCTTGCTCTGCCCGTTGCCCCAGTCTATTCTCAATACACCAGCTACTGACATCCTTCTAAAACGCAAGTCAGATAATGACATCCTCTTGTCAAAATCCTGCAAAACCTCTTGTGAGGACTCTAGTGTGGAAACTGGAGTCTTCCCAAGAATCTACAAGTTCCCAAGTGATCTGATCCTTTCTGCTCTCTCCTCACATCAACTCTTATTTCTCTTGCCCTCTTGCTTACCCTACTCCAGCCTCTTGTGAAAACACAACCATACCAAGGGGACTCCTGCCTCAAGGCCTTCACCCTGACTGCTCCCTCTGTCAAACTCTTCCCTTATTTCCCAAATGGCAAATTCCCTCATCTGCTCAAATATTTCTCCTTGATTAGGCCTATTTAAAACTGTACCCCAACACATTGCACTCCCCTACTCAGTACTCTAAACCCTCTCATTCTGTTCTTTTCACGTTTTTTCTTTTTCCTGCCTTCTAACATACTACATACTTTATAATTTACATATTAGTTCTATTGTTTATTTCTGCCTTCCCCAAATAAACCATAAGCTTTAAAAGAGCAGGGATTTTTGTTTTTTCATTGACATCAATATATTCCAAGCATTTAGAATAGTGCCTGAAGCATACTAAGCATTAAATAAACATTAGCAAGACAGTAAACAAAATAATAAGCTATGGTGTCAAAATTCCCCAAAGGATAGCATTTTCCCTGTGTTATACTCATCTTAATTTACATTAAAGCACATCTAAAGTGTTATAAAACAAAAGCAACACTCTCCTGAGACTAGCACTGAGGTGGGGTGATAAAAACCTTCCATAAGCTGAGCTACAGGTGCTGCTGCCAGTTCTAACAGCACCAAACATCCCAAAAGGGCTGTCTGGGCAAATACAGTGATGCAAATTACAGTCTTCCGGATGGAAACCACCTATTTTCAAAGAACCATGACTTTACAATCAGTCTAAAAATGTGTAATTTAGTGATTCAGAAAGTTCTCAAAAATCCTCAGGGACTCTGATAATTAAAATACATTATTCTGGATGAGAAAGATATAGGAGAAAACAATAGCTGCTTCTTTGGACTTAAAAACTGATTTCTATCTATTTGACCTATTACTTTTTTGTTCAACATAAATATACAAAATTGAGGAAAGATGAATTAGTGGCTATTGATTATTTAAAGTTTAGAGACACAAAGTACAAATGAAGGAGAACCTGCTATATTTGGAAATAACATATAACAACCAAATTAAATAAGAATTTAACTCTCAAAAAATTTTTATTATAGAAATTTTCAATCATATACATTACAGAGAACAGTGTAATGAACTCAATGGATCATCACCCTATTTCATCACTTATTAATACTTTGCTAATCTCATTCATTTATACCCCTACCCAGATTATTTTGAAGCAAATCAGATATCATATAATTTCCAATATAAATAATTTAACATGCATCTCAAAAAATAACTCTCTAAAAAATACAACCACAACATAACCAATTGACATCTAAAAAAATTAACAAAAAACCTTTAGAATTAAAACACACATTCAATCAATGTTCACATTTCCCTGAGTGTCTTATAACATTTTGCTATGATTGTTATTTTGTTTTTTAAACTGTTTCGTTTGAATGGAAATCTAAGTCCATACCTTCTTATTAGTTGACAGGTTTCATGTTTCTTTTAATCTTTAGGTTTTTAAATTTTCTTTCCACACTCATACAACAAAAGCACTATAAATTTGAATGAATTTATGAAATATAATAAACAGTATTTTCAAATAAACAATGCACCAAAAATTAAACCTGCCTCTCAAAAAATCTGAAGGTCTAATGAGCACCTTAGGTTTCATTCATACTAAACCTAAAACAACAATGCTTGTCTAGCTTTCCATTTTTCATCAAAAGAAAGATAACTTCCAAAAATTATAACTCATGTATTAGGTAATCAGCAAGTTTTTTCCGTAAAGGGCCAGATACCAAATAGTTTAGGCTTTGTGGCCAGAACGTATCTATTGCAACAACTCAGTTTGGCCTTTACAGTGCACAAGCAGCCACAGACAATAGTACACAAATGGGTATTGCTATCTTCCAACAAAACTTTATTTACAAAAACAGGCAGCAGACCAGATTTGGCCAACTCCTGTTCTAGATAATAATGCCTACCAAAGTTGAACCCTGCCATAATGGAGGAAGAAACATTCAAGCTATACTTTTATAAATAAAATAAACTGGGGTAAATGTGACAGTTTATGATGGTAGTCCCACTGCGTTTATGAAGATATCAAATACTCTATACTAGTCTGACCAAACACCAATACTTAAACAATACAACATATCATGGTGGCTAAAACCAGAAAATTAAAATATGAAAATTTTCTGCTAATAGAAGCATTGTTCTGCCTAGGTTCTGCTGCAGGTTTTTCTAACAAAGCGATAAGAGTTTATAAAATTCTAACCTTTAGATACAGCTGAAACAGATACACCCCCTGCCCTCCTCAATGAGGTATACAGATAAATAAACTTTTTATTTAAATATTTCTTAGAAAACATCCATTATATGTAACGCCTGCTGCCCTTATAAAATGGTCTGCCTCTTCAATAGACAAAACCAGAGGACTATGGTTTCTAGGTCTTCCATCTGCTTTTTTTTTTTTTTTAAAGATTTTATTTTCCTGTCTCTCCCAAAGCCCCCTGGTACATAGTTTTGTATCTTTTCAGTTGTGGGTCCTTCCAGCTGTGGCATGTGGGACGCCACCCCAGCATGGCCTGACAAGTGGTGCCATGTCCGCATCCAGGATTTGAACCAGCGAAACCCTGGGCCACCGAAGCAGAGCGTGCAAACTCAACCACTCAGCCATGGGGCCGGCCCCTTCCATCTGCTTTTGATACTTTTTCTACCTCTATGCCTGGCATACAAGAAATGAAGAATAATATCTGCAGAATCAATGAGTGGATAAGTGTATAAATAACTAAATGGTGTAAACAGTTACTTCTCCTTCTTAT